ACTACTAGGCTCCTCACAATTTTAGTTCTGGCCAATGGACTATGGAAATTAGCAAACACTCATTCTGTAGGGGCCAGAGAGCAGCTCTCCCACATCTTCCAGCACTAGTGACCACAAGAGATGGTGAGACTGCAGGCTGCAGGAGCTCTGCCAACATGGCCAGCCACTGACCTGTGACAGGCATCATTGTGTTAAGAGGAAAGTAAGCTTTCTTGGCTTAAGCTGCAAAAATGATGAAGTTGATCTGTTACTGCAGCAGCCATAGCCTCTCTTGACTAATCAAGCTTCATGAACTGAACTCTGCACCCACCAAGCCCTTCCTATCACACTCCATGCTCCAAGTGACTCTTAGTTCAGTTACACGAGCACAGAAACTGTTTCACCCTGCTTTTGCATGTGTTCCATAACCCTAGAATACCATTCCTCCACACTCTACTGCCCTCTTCCTCACTCCAGCCCAGCAGTTTTTTCAAAATTCACTTTAGATATGATTACCTCCAGAAAGTCTCCCTCATTTTCCCAACACTCTTCCTACTCTCTCTGTTACCCACAATCTCTAGAGAATACTTATCTTGCCACGTCATAATCACATTTCACTGGCTGACCTGTGATGTCCACTCCATCTCATCACATTGTGATAGAGCCAATGGTTTATTCATTTCTATATCATGAGGGCCAGCAAGGAGAAGCAGACATATTTTGGCCGGGGGGTGGGGGAACTTGTTCTAGGGAGACTGGTCCTAAGATAGCTAAAAGAAGTTGAATTAGGGCCAGGAATCTAGTTCAGTGGTTCCACTACCTACCTTATAAGCATAAAGATCCGAGTTCAATCCTCATTACCAAAAAATAATAATAATAAAAAGAAGTTGAATTAGATCCATTCACACACACACACACACACACACACACACACACACACACACACACCATCCTACTTAACAAAAGCTACAGAGTACACAACTCTGTCCACTTCAGCTCCAAGCCAGGAATGCCCAAGAAGCCCAAACTCTCCTCACTATCTCCCCAAACTATTCTTCAGTCTCCATAAAGGTCTCAGATTTTACGTGGAAAGTAACAACTCAAATGAGGCCCCCCCAAAAAAACGACACCTATTAAGGTGCTAGCAAAAAAAAGGTTGGAAGGGAATCTCACTGGTATAAGGAGGCCAACGAGAAGCTGCAGCTATGAGGTAATTTTAATTACTATAAGATTCATATGCAATGCCTGGCAACTGCTTTACAACCCAAAAAAACGACACCTATTAAGGTGCTAGCAAAAAAAACGTTGGAAGGGAATCTCACTGGTATAAGGAGGCCAACAAGAAGCTCTGCAGCTATGAGGTAATTTTAATTACTATAAGATTCATATGCAATGCCTGGCAACTGCTTTACATCACTAAATTCTCAAAATAATTTGAGCATGCCCACCTTACCCATAAGGAAACTGAGGCAGAGTTATTATCACACACTCTATGGCACCCTGATATTTGCAAATTTCTGTAAATACAGCCTTCACAACCAGCCCAGGCAGCTCTAGAGATGTCCCTGGGCCTCCAGGCAGCCACAGAACTGATGTTTATCTCTATTTTCTCACTTAAACCCATATCACGATGCCTCTACATACCTTACGTCTCCAGGAGACTGTCACTTGTTCCTGGTAAGGACTGCTCAATAACTATTTAACAGTCAATAAAAATAGTTCCCCTTTGATCATCAAAAGCCCTCTGAGGTCAGCTAAACGAATGTTACTAAGTAAAGAGAGGTGAAGACATTGAGGTTCCCATGGAAGTTTAAGCCTTTATCCCCAGGTCACTAGGAGGCCACAGACCTCTGGGAATGGAATCCAGTAACCGCCCCTCCCCAAGTCCCAGGACAGATGTCTTCTTCCCGCTCTTCCATCCTTCTGGATGAGCCCCTCATCCCAAAAGAAAGGAAATCTGTGAAGCAAAAGCCTCCAACTAAGTAGCCTGTCTCAGATATAGTGACCCCACCGCCAAGACACGAGGCCCGTGGGCCTGAAAACCTTCCACCATGCCACAGCAGTCACTGTCCAGGTCAGCCCATTCCCCTTCCTTCACTGGCTTTAGAAAGATGCTACGACATTTACTCAGCTTGTCCAGTGAAAACCAAACTATTCAACTATTCAGAAAAACATGGAAGAGAGATTTTCTTTGACCTGAGTAAAAGGGTGAGAAAAGAAAAGAAAAATGAGATCTTGGGACAGCTGGGCAACTCTCCATCTTGCTTTTGCTATTCTGAGTACCACACCCAAGCATCCTGCCACCCAGAATGTCGATTTGTTAGGTGCATTGCCAAAGGCACACTGGGGAGGGCTAATGGATCCTGAGCCCCTACCTGCCAATCCTGTGCCTGGGCACCGGAATCCATCTGCCCAGGTTTGGGGCATCTTTTGTGAATTTGTACAAAGGCTCCCTACAGGCAAGTACAGGCCACCTATTACTGATAATTTAGCCTTTCTGAGATACCAGAGGAAGGAAAAAAAAAACAAAAAAACATTGAGAGTGAGAAGGCTCCAAGTTTTTATTTGGATTCCTTAGAATCAGACCCTGGACAGCTTTCTTATGATGGTATAATAGGAGGTATTCCTAGGAAAAACTGGCAGCCCAATGAAGAACTGAGACAAAAAAGAAAAGGTAGCAAGCCAAGCAGAGACCCACAGAGGTCAATCTGATGCAGTTCCACAGGGAATCTCTAGAACAAAAGATGCCACCCTCAGAATCCCACTGAAAGGGCCAGGTAGTGGAGCTGCGTATAGCACAGCACCCATTGGTCACTGGTTACGACTGCCCCAGGGGAGATGTAAATTTCCAGGCACTCCCCGATGGATCTCAGTGCCTACAGATTTAAGAGACCAAGGAAAGTCCTCTAACAAGAAGAAGTGGGGGTGGCTGGCAGTTGGGAGTGAAAGCACTTCAGGCCACCAATGTGATGAAGATGACAAAGCTCGCCATAAAAGGACGTGGTTCAAAGACCTTTCGAAGCCTCAATGAAAAGAGTTACAGATCCTATTTCAGAAATCACTTTCTCCTTCTCTATTTAGTCACCAGTGAAGCATTCTGTGGCACCATCCAGAGCAATCCAAATGCTTTTCTAAAGTTGGACTATAAGAAAATCTGACACTCTGCTTTTTTATTCCTTGGAGCCCTTACTTTTGCTACTTGCCCTAAGGATAAGCATAACGCTTGCCTACAGCTGCAAATGCCTCATTCAGTCTGATCAGGAGCTCAACACCAGCCCCACAGATCAGCTCTCCAAGCAGTGACACAGACTAATTTCCAGACTGACACAATCATCTAGAAACACAGGGCTGCTCAATGCCTGGAGCCAATGAGGAAGGTGGGACCCCCTACAGTTTGACAACTGCCACCTTGGACAGTACACCAAGTAAAGGAAAGGAAACGATATTAACAAGGAAGGGGTGAGAAGTGGAGAGAAGACTGTCAAGAATGAATAACAACCTAGTTCCCTGCACAACTTCTCACCCCCCCACCCCCGCTCCCAGAAGGCAGCCACTCTGAAAAGGTGTCCCCAGACATTGGTATAACCTCTCCCTTCCTTATCACATCTCCCCCCAGGGCCAGACTGGAAGGGATGGTAAATGACGACTTATTTGAAATTAATCGATGTGATATTTCATGGGCTCAGCTTTTTTCCTGTTAATTTCCAGATCCTTTGATTGTAGTGTTTTATTGCCTTTCTTTCTTCTGTGTATGTTTATCTGGTTCTAAGGAAAGCTCTCCCTGGGTCAGAGAGCTGTGGAAACCAGAGTTCAAATTCCAGCTCTACCACTAACGAGCGACCCAATCTTAGGCAAAGTAAAAGCTCTGGGGGTGGGCCTCAGTTTTCTCCCCTAACAAATGAGGATAATTCCACCTTCTTTACCGTTCGTGAAAAGGATGAAATGAGGTGAACTCTAGATAAAAGTGCCTGGCAATTGAGATGCTCAATAAACGTCAGCTCCCTCCCTGGCGCATTCCCTCTTCTGCATCCCTGGGGCACCTCACAAGACACTTAGTGCGTTTTCAGTGAGCCTCTGTGGCTGCAGCGAAGAAATAACCTCTGTACAGCGTTACCTCCAGCGAGCGAGTTTCAGCTGGTGTAGACAAGTGCACACGCGCGCACTCAGACACACACACACACAACACACGCACCACAGTGCCCCACGGACACCCGCGTGAGGCCTGGCGCTGCTGCCCCGCTGCCCCACCCCGCACGGAGCAGGGTCCAGAGTAGAACGACTAAAGTCCCTCCGCCCTCGCCAAGGCGGCTCCCCAGACCCGAGCAGGTGGGCGCCGCGCGCGGCACTTACCAGCTGCAGGCCGACTGCCTGGCAAGCAAAAGATCCTGAGTTTGATTCCCGGTATGAAAAAGAAATTAGGCTGTTTATGAATGAAAAGGGGCAGAACTATCTATAGCCCACTGATGTGGCCTGGCTTAGCAACCTCATGTTTCTTAGATATTTTCCCCTACACTTCAGTGTACTGAACAAAAAAGCACAAGATGTAGAGAAAA